GGGTGGGGGGAGGACAGTGAGGGGACAGCTGGGGTACAAATGGGGGTCGCCCTCTAGGGGGTTTGCTTCCCCCCCCCCCCCCCGTGTTCTCACCGCATTTCGTATTTGAGTCAAAACTCGAATGCCATCTAGTTAGTTTAAGAATTTATTTTCTTCTGATCGATTCTTGTTTGACGCTGTTTCCCACTACCATATTTTACAAAAATTTTCGAGTTGTTCATTCTAAGAAAGATTTTGTATGTCTAGAGCACTTAGTGCAGCTCAAGAATAGAAATGCTTCCATTTCAAACACTGTCGATTGTTCTCTTTTCAAAGGTAGAATTAGCTTTCGTCACTTTTAAGGTCGAACCCTCCCCACGTATGAGTACCCTAAAGCTGGTCATGCCGTATACTAGTCGTATGTTTATCTAATTCAAAAGTCTTCATTCAACAGATTATTTCTTATGGAAAATGGAAGCATGTACTAAATCTTGTCATTTTGTCCATCTATGAAAAAGAATTAACTATCACCAAAATATAATAGTTGATGAAGATAAAAACCTTTTAATTAAATGTTTTTATTTTGATATTTATTTATGAGAGAATATGAATACAGCTTAATCATAGTAGTATAATTATTTAATATTTTTACGAAACACAACATACATAAGATTGATTGAACGTGTATGAAACAAAAAAAAGACACACAGTAGAAAATGATTAGTGTGTAAAATGGGTTATCATATATCTGACATCCTAAATGCTTGTATTGATATAAATGCAATAACATATCTGACATTAAATGAAACGAGCTAGTTGTCCATAAAATTCCATTAACAATTGAAGAAGTGAAGTCATAGATGGACGTTGATCAATTGAAGTTATCCAGCATGCACTCATTAATTTGAATCTATGCAGAAAAAAAAAATTACATCATTATAATAAATTTAGTTCTTGTGATAATATCTTACAAGGAATCAGGACAATTAATTGGTTGTACAAGACGATGATTATTTTGTAGATGTGAGATCAGGTTATATGATTCAATATCAGCATAGGGTTGTAAACCACGACTCATCAATTCCCAGAGAAGTACACCGTATGACCACTAGCAGCAAAGTAAAACAAAATGAATAATAGAATCAAAAAACAGCAAAGAAACTTACAACATCTGAAGCTGTTGAAAAACGTCGATCATTGATTGATTCAATAGCCATAAATTTTAACGGACGACTTTCAGTTGGAATATCCATTGGAAGACAATCATAATCTTGTGGAAAAAGATCACGTGACAGAGCATAATCAGTTAGTTTCACCGTCAAATCATCCATGACTCTATAAAATCCATTTAAAGAAAAAAAAAATAATTTGAATAAAACTAAAGTCATTAATGTCATTCACTGAAATGCACATTATCATATATTATTTTCAATCATCCTAATTTTACTAGTGATTAGTACTACAGAACTGCAAAATAGCTAATTGTTGATATTCAGTATTTTAGCTCAGAATTACTTAAAGGCCTTTTCGAAAGATTTCTAAAAAATTATGTTTAACACTGAGCCTATAGATTTTTGTTTCCTCTATAAAGTCGCTTTACGAATATATCAAATATTGTCGGAGTCGGTGTTTTTATAGAGCGGACACTTCTCTATAGAAATGTGATAGTGAACTAAACTGTAGCTTTTACCTAAATGAAGCTACAAGTATTTTTTCAAGAGCTTGTTTCAACACGAAACGAGTGTCGATTTTTCAAAAATTAGTATTTAGGAACGATGAGAATGAAGGTGCCTTATCGAAAAATAAGAAAACCTTCAAATAGTGCATTTTGTAGAGCAGCTGTTGATCTACAAGCTAATATATACATGAAGATCTCGACTTTTAGTTTTGAAGAGCAATAATGAAAATACCAGCAGGTACGGAAAAATTTACCATCCAAACTAATGTTTGGGCTTTTCAAAGATTATATCATTACTTTTGAAGAAAAAAATGAGACGAATTTTCTAAGTCAGTATTCGAAAAGAGCACAAAATACTGTCTAGTGGGTCAAAAACTGAACAAACTTCTTGTGTAAAAACTTTCCGATCATCCGTTAATACCAAGGTATTAAGATGATATTTAATACTAATGCTAATCGAACATTTCTCTATTGAATGTTTCTATAAAGTAGAGCAAAGCAAAAATTTGAATTGTGTTCCTTGAAAAATTTTAGTATCAATACTACATACACTGAAACACTTCTTGTTATTATTATCTATTACAATAGTTTTTCTTATTAAATACCGCTTCTGACTTATTTACAAGACCAGTTAACATAATATTCTGTTGTGCTAATGACAAAAAACTAAAACAAAATTATTATCTTTTTCAAATAATAGAAATTTAACTACAAGAAACTTACTCAATGTATATTATTATCCATTCATCTTATTAGTTAAAAATAAATTTTTATTTTCTCATTTGTTCTTTATGATGATAACTGATATCTACACTTTGATAAAATGTGTTCGAAAATAAATACATCCTAGCTATCTATGAATTTCCATCGTGTCATTCTTTTTTCAATATTTTAAGTTTGAAATGACAACGTGATATTTCAGTCAGTATCTTGCAAAAGTCCATAGCAATGGAAAGAAGAAAAAAAACGTGTCAGTGAGCAAATATGCAGATCAACTCAAAAAATTAAAGCAAACAAAAAAGATAACGTATTTAAAACAAAAGCAATGATATCTAATTTCACATTTTGTGTGTTCTTCTTTAAACAATGTTTTGCTGCTTTAAACTGCCGAAAACATCAGACAGTAATACGTAGGCGTTTTAAACTTCCACGCACCAGCTGTGGTGTAATCACTTTGCTTTTTTTTTCATTTGTATTGTTCTATTTTTTCCAGTACAAACGATGAGAAACAATCACTTTTACGAAGTGGTACCACTCCTTTTAACTATCAAACAATATTAACTATTCCCTATGCTCATGTTATTCGAGACGATAAAATTCCCATTGAATCGTCAAATGTAGCCGAGGCAAATGCTGCTCATACATATTGGCTATTCAATGGTATGATACCTGATCAAGCATATGAAAAACGTATGTATCATACGTACATATATATATCCATAGCGGACAGTTCTCAAGGCATAATTATTCATTTTATCTTCTTTTTTCACTAAAAAAATAATAGCATGTTTTTCATTCGACGATGTTGATGTTCCAACTCCTGTTGTATTCGCAACAACAAGTACAAATAGACATTTTCTCTTTGAACGTCTTTTTCAAATTAATCCTGTGAATGCTATTAATTCTTCTGCAGCAATTCGGATGTATCAAATTAATCAGAAAAAATCAGTAACATCAAGTACTGTTTCAATGGCTCGACCATTTGACGAATTTCTTACAAATTCATCAATGCCCAATACTTCTGTTGATGTACAAAGTAATAGTATAATAACAAAGTCGGACAAAGATTGAAATAAAAAAAAAATATAGCATGCTTAAATACTTACAAGCAATTCCGTGTACCTATATCTTTCATTAACATTTTACGTCTATGCAGAAAATGTAAACCTTTGGCTATATGTATAGCCATATAAACCAATTCTTGTGTTGATAACAACTGTAACGAAATAATGATAGAATGTTACTTATGTTTTCTTTTTCTTTTCTTCTATTTTTATTAAATACTCACTTGTTCACGAGCACTTGTTCGATTTTGAATAATAAATCGTTTAAGAATTCCTCTGTTACTATATGGATATACAATTAATGGATATGGTGATAATTCATTCTTATAGACAATGCCTAATGGACTATTAATAGTCGAATGTTTTAGTGCAGCAAATAAACAACAATCATGTAACATTTGATTGAGTTGTGTTGACGTTGCAGATGAATTTACAGTTTTACCATAGATATTTTGTGTTGAAATATTTATTGATGAATCATTAAGAGAACAATGAAACAAACGACCAAATTGACCTAATGAAATCATAAAAATGATAGGTTAATATCTGTTTCAGAGAAATTTTGCTTTCTGCGTTTTTCGATTAAGTTAAGAAGTTGAGATTTTTTCATAAACTTCTTAATAGACCAAAAATAAATTGCATTTTTAAGCCATACAGATCGATCCGTTTATTAAATTTTATACCTCACAATCTACTTCAAATTATGTAAAAATAACATTCGTGTTTTTACTGTAATAGAAAAACTAAAGAATAAATAGAATGGGAAACCAACAGTAGTTTTAAAATCGATGTTCATACTTTCTATATAACACAGTTCGCACAATTTCATGTAGGTTCTATATGCAACAAAATGAATATATCCAAATATTTTTTATTCATACTTCAATTGAAGACAAAGTCTCATCAGCATCTTATTAGGTAGCAATATATATGGGTCACTTCAGACAAAATGAAACATTCCTATAATTCATTTGACTTTCATTTTTTACAATTGTTATTTTTCTGAATAAGTTCATGTAGCATAGACAGATAATATTGACTCGTTCAGCGAATTATTAAAAAGGAATTAGCGCATATCTCTCTAATCATACAAGACAAAAACCCAAAAACTTTGAATAGACTCTATGCCACGAACCACATCTTCATTGAAATATTCAGGAAAATCCAACTTTAAAAAGCTTCTTCCTAAAAAAAGTGTTCTAGAGATCCTAACAAGTTCTGAAAACAAAATTTTTTATCTTAGTATCATCTAGCGATTCTGAAGGCGAATTTTTACTATTTCAAATTAACTTTTAACTTCTTATTTGGTTACAAAAGTCTTTTTGTTCGTATATTCGTATTCCGCCACGTCGCTAACGAAAAATAAAT